CAGGAGGGCGCCTCGGAGGGGGAGGGCTTCCTGGGACCTTCTTGTGCTTCACCCTGGTGAGATCTCAAACCAGATCATTTCTACATAAGAACAGTTGGGTTTCAAAAATAAATTGTAATTGTTTCTTTTTTTAAAATATATACATATTTTAAGGTTTATTCATTTTGAGAGAGAAAGAGACACAGAGCGTGAGCGGGGTAGGGGGCAGAGAAAGAGGGAGGGAGACACAGAATCTGAAACAGGCTCCAGGCTCCAAGCTGTCAGCACAGAGCCCGACGCGGGGCTCGAACCCACGAACCGAAATCATGACCTGAGCCAAAGTCAGAGGCTTAACCGACTGGGTCGCCCGGGGCCCCTGAATCTTTATTGTTTCTTTAAGCCAAGTTTACACCTGAGACCCTAGTCGGCCCCATCCTTCCCAGGAGGCTGTGCGCTGCTTCCACACCCTCCTTCTGTCCCCCAGGCCCCGCGCACCACACCTGTGGACTCTGGACATACCCGAACAGAACCCACCCGGGCATCTCTACTCGAGGCTCCTCCCCATAGGACCTTTGCACTCAGCTCACTTAGGCTCCAGCATCTGATTACTCTGTTGATTAATGTTTAATGGTTTGACGCTGACTATTTAATTACAGACACTGTTACACCCTTTCAGGACCAATAAATTGCTTCACATAATGTAAGAAGCTGCACAATCCAATGAGCTCTGGCTAAGCTGTGTCAGGCGAAGGGAAACCCTGAGGATTTCGTAATTAGCAAAACAGGAACAAAAGCAATTCATTGTATGTAGCCCAGAAGGCATTTTTCTTCTTTGGTTTGACATGTTCCTTCGTTGTGAATTATTTATCGTCACCCTCCAGCCGTACGTGCTGGTAGGTAGTATAGAAACCAGGAGTGATTGAGTCCTTGCCCCGACTGTCTTCCCGAGCGCCAGATGAAGGTGGGTTTGGAGATGATTCGAGTCATGGACAGAGACAGGGTTGGCCATCCAGACACAAGGAAGGACATCTGTGCTGAAATCCTCTACGAATTCCACAATTCAATAGTTTACAATTTCCCCCTTCGATTCGAGATGTTTGCGTGCATTTCCAAGCCTGGCTGCTCTCGGGGAAGGTGGCACACGTGGGGTCAGAGGAGACCCTCAGGGCACATAAACAGTGAAGGAGGTGGGCACACACTTACCGGATGAAACATGTTGGCATCGTCCAAAACGAGCCCCGTGAGCGAGCCCATCCCCCCCAAACTGCCTCTTTCCGATGTTCTTCCCCCAAGGAGTTTCTCCGAACTTCTCACTGGGCTCAGTTCTCCCTTGGCTTGTGTTCCAAATGGGATCCTGTCCCCCACAGACACGGAAAGGCTTAAGGAAGGCTGGGTGCCTCCCAGGAGATGACCACATGGACTTTGGGTCTTGTGGTCAGAGAGGTGACAGGAAGACTCATGGGCCCCAACTCCATTGCTCAGGGACCACCAGCACCTCTGCCCCGTGCTGGAGCCGATGCCCTTGGGGCTTGCTGGTCACAGCTCTGGGGCTTCCCCAGTGTGCGCTGTTCACGACAGTCTCACCTCACCTTCAAGGGTGAACGATCCTCACGCCATGACACACTTACCTCCTGACAGGATCCAGAGGAAGTTGGGTTCATTATGATGTCTCAATCTAGAAGTTTGGTGGAGTCCAAGGAAACATTGAACCAATAAGCAGAGTTTTCACTTTTTTTTTATACCTCAATCCTACTTCCTCCAAGTGAGGGTCAAAACTCACGCCCCTGGGGGCTGATGGAAGGGGACTCTTCTCTACCATCTACCAAGCCCGAGGGAGAGAGATGTGAAAAGCAGCATGATCTACGGCAACCTGGAAATCTTTCCTGCCTTCTAAGGCTCTTCCCAACCAACAACCAAGCCCTTGACATTTGCCAGTTAACATTCACTGAAAACTACCTAGTACAGCACCCGGTTCATGGGAAGGATGGAGAGTGGGCTTTTACTGATCTCCATAATCACTTGGTACTTCTTTTTTTAAATTTTTTATTTATTTTTATTTATTGTACTTATTTTTTTATTTTTACTTTTTAATAGTTTATTGTCAAGTTGGTTTCCATATAACACCCAGTGCTCATCTCCACAGGTGGTCTCCTCCATGCCCATCACCCCCCTTCCCCTCCTCCTCCACCCCATCTGCCCTCAGTTTGTTCTCACTATTCAAGAGTCTCTCATGGTTTGCCTCCCTCCCTCTCCCCCACTGTTTTGCCCCTTCTTCTTCCCCATGGTCCTCCGTTAAGTTCCTCCTAATCCTCCTATACGTGCAAACAGATGGTATCTGTCCTTCTCTGCCTGACTTATTTCGCTCAGCATAACACCCTCAAGGTCCATCCATGTTGCTACAGGTGGCCAGATTTCATTCTTTCTCATTGCCATGTAGTATTCCATCGTATAGATAAACCACATCTTCTTGATCCATTCGTCAGCTGATGGACACTTAGGCTCTCTCCATGGTTTGGCTATTGTTGCGAGTGCTGCTATGAACATTGGGGTACATGTGCTCCTATGCATCAGCACTCCTGTATCCTTTGGGTAAATTCCTAGCAGTGCTATTGCTGGGTCTTAGGGGAGTTCTATTGTTATTTTTTTGAGGAACCTCCACACTGTTTTCCAGAGGTGCTGCACCAGTTTACATTCCCACCAACAGTGTAGGAGGGTGCCCGTTTCTCCACATCCTCGCCAGCATCTAGGGTTCTCTGATTTGCTCATTTTAGCCACTCTGACTGGCGTGAGGTGGTATCTCAGTGTGGTTTTGATTTGTATTTCCCTGATGAGGAGGGATGCTGAGCATCGTTTCATGTATGTGTCTGTTGGCCATCTGGATGTCCTCTTTGGAGAAGTGTCTGTTCATGTCTTCTGCCCATTTCTTCACTGGGGTGTTTGTTTTTTGGATCACTCGGTACTTCTTGAAGGACATTTACAAACATGATACTTTTATAACAAAAACTTAATCAAGAGAGAAATGCATATAATTCAGCACAAGAAAAGACTCTTTGGGGTGAGAATTGTTGCCCTTGGAGGAAGTGATGGAATGTTGCAGGTGTCTGTTTCCTGGTCTGGGTGTTGGCCACATGGGTGTTTTTTGTTCACAGAATTTTATCAAGCTGTACTTGTATAATTGTGCATTTCCTTTATTTTACATTGTCTTTATTTGACAAGTCAATAAAAAGTTCCAAAAAAATTCAGTACATATATCTCGGTTGGCAAATGTCATTTAGAGCTCAACAGTTAACCCTTTAGCTGAAAAACAACCAGGAGTTAAGAAATCAAGTTCTGTCCCATTTCTTCAACTAAGCAGCTCTACGATCCAGGACGAGGCATTAGAGGCATTGATGTTGCTGATTATTCTTGCTTTTCTCATCATTGCCACATAAGGGATTTGAACTAGAATAATCTTAATGCCCTGTCCTTCCCAACCCCCCAGCATTTAGGTCATGTAATGATCCTCGACCTCACCACCCTTCCCCCCATCAGGCTCTAGCCACTGCCGTGTTTCCCAAGAAACCCTCCGGGAGGGGCTGGAAATCCTTCCTGCCTCCACTTCTCTACTCTCTTTCAACCACTTGGTTCAAGTCTTCATCCCCAGGACTCCATGGAGCTGCTCTGGCCAGAGAGCCCAGTGATGTCACGTTGCCAAATCAATGGTCTGTCCTCCATCATATCTGACCAACACACCTTAGTAGCTGACACCAGAGGTGACCATCTTTGGGACACTGTCACTAATCAGGCTCTGCCGTGTCAGTCTCTCGGAGGGGCTCATTTGTCCCGCTGGTCACTCTCTTCCTGGCTTCTCCTCCTCGCCCTGACTTCTAAAGCCAGAAGGTGCAGGGATTCAGACCCCACGGCTCTGCTCTCCTCCAGGGCTGCTCACTCGGTTGGTCTCCTGTGCCATGACTTTAATGTCCTCTCTCTGATGCCGATGTCCCAGTTTCTCTCCTTCCCTGGGACACCCCCAGATGCCAGGCGCAGACACCTCACCGCTGCTCACCAGAGCCCATGGTTGTCTGAGAGGGTCATACCTCACAGACTCTTGATCTGCCCTTCTGTGAGGCTCCCAATTCAAGTTAGCGGCCACTTGATTCTTCCAGTTATTTGGTAAGCCAAGCTTCCAGAGTCTTCCATGGCCCTCCTTCTCTGCTTCCATACATTATGTAGGCTCTGCTTTAAAGCACGTCCCCAGTCTGACCACCTCACCCTCTTTCCACTCACTGCCACCATGACCGCCTTGGTCCCAGCCACTCTTCCTTCTTGCTCGAGCGATTCAACAGCTTCCTAAGTCAACGGCTTTGGGATTTTTTGTCTCACCTCTGCATTTACTGTGTCTTCTTTACCGGCAGCCAGAGTGGGCCTTTCAAAATGAAGTCATATCTCGTCACTTCTATCTCGTGGGGTCTGTCCTGGGGTGAACAGTGTCCCCCCAAATTCATGAGCTTCCTTGAAACAGGGTCATTGCAGATGTGATTAGTCAGGATGAGGTCATGCTTGGGGGGGGGGGGTGGGCCCTGACTCAGTGTGCCTGGTGTGCTTGTCAGAAGAGGAGGAAAGACACAAAGACAGACAGTCACAGAGGGGAGAATGTCACGTGACGACAGGCTCAGGGAAGACGGCCATGTGACGTCGCAGGCAGAGATCTGTGGGATGCGCCCACCAGCCCGGGGACAACCCCAGGCTGCAGGCGACACCAGGAGCCAAAGAGGCAGGACGGATTTTCCACTACAGCCTTCGGAGGAGCGGGGCCCTGCCCACACCTGAGTTTCGGACTTCCAGCCTGCAGGCCGTGACGGGATAAACTCCCGCTGTTTTAGCTACTCCAAGTTATCTTAATGGACTTCAGTACAGAAGCCACAGGAAGCTCTTGTTTCCACGTTGCTCAGAATGGAATCCTCTCGTGCCTGGTCTGTAGGCCCTTCGTGATCCGCTCTGCTTTCTGGCCTCGTGCGGTCCCGCCTTCCCTCCCGGCGCACCTGCCGGGCCGGGCTGCCGGGCCCCTGGCGGCCCCCCTTTAGCTCCCGGGACTCCGCTCCGCTGGGCACCCCCGTCTCCCGCATCCCATCGCCTCATCAGGGAAGCGGACCCTTCACCCGGCGGAAGAGCGACCCCCCTCCGTGGCTACGTGGACCCTGACGCCCCGTCCCAGGCGAGTGCACAGACACGTCTAGTTTGCTGACCTGAGAATTGCCCGGTGTGACAAGGATGGTTCGGGCCAAGTTTCCTGCTTGGAACCCGCTGGGGTCACGGACGGAAGCCGTGAGCGGGTTTGGCCTCTGGAAATGTTTACTGCGAGAGCAGGAATCGAGGTTGTCTTCCCTAAAACCGCCATGGGCAGAGGTCGTGGACCGAGGGCGGCGGTCCGGAGCGGGGGCCTGGCCGAAGCCACCTTCAAAGTGCTGGCACCCGGGGTCCCCGCGTACCCGGCGCGCTGAATCAGACCGCGGCCCCCAGCGTGTTGTAAACGACCCCGAATCCACTTTTCTTCAAGGGCCTCGCCGCTCAGGAGATCGTGGACGGCCTCCAGGGCTCGCTGCGTGGGTGAGCAGGTCGCAGCGAGGCTCGCTGGCGGGGACCCCCGTGGGCCTCACCACTTGGGCCACTGAGCCCCGCGGGGGGGGGGGGCGATGGAGGCTGGGAGGAGAGAATCCCTCTGTAAGGAGCAGGAAGGCGTCGCACTGCGGGGCCCCACCCTGAGGGAGACGCGGAGGGGGCCGCTCTACGGTTTGCCTTGGAACTCCTGGGTCAGGACCTTCCGGCGCTGCTGAGGGGAGGCCTTCAGCTGTTTCCTTGTTTCTGTAAGGGGGGCGGCGCGGGGGCGCACCTCCCCGAGAGTCAGGGCTTGTTCTGTAAGAGAAGCCCCGCACCCGGCGCGGGGGTCCGGACGAGCCAAGGGCACGTAGGGCGAGGCCGGGGCGAGCGCACGTCAGCACCTCCCAGGGACAGGATGACGGCCCCTGGGCCCCGCGGGTGAGGGCCGCGGCCACCCCGCCACCAGGGGGCGCTGTGCAAGCGCCGTGCTCTGGGCTCCTGCCCGGACGGGTTCCTGCGGAAGCGCTCCGCCTGCTCGCTCAGTGTCCGCGTCCGCGCCCCGCACGTGGCCAAGCCCGTGGGAGGAAGGGCGGGAGGCGCGCACCTTCGGCTGCGTGGTCGGCCGTCGTCACCGCCGCGCAGGGAGGGACGGACGTCCCAGGCGCCGCCCGCGTGGAGGAGAGGACAGAGCGCCGGGGGACGCAGGCGGGGGACGTTAGCACACCGTGGGCGGGGAACAGTCACGTGGCCGGGAAGGGGCGCAGGGCTTCTGGGAGGACTCTGCAGCTGGGGCCAGTGGACAGAAGTGGGCCTGGAAAGGGGCTTGGGAGGAAGGGGACTCCGGTTTTGATTTGCACGCGAAGCCGGAAGCGGTCAGATACCCCGGTCCTGTGTTCCTGACGCTCTGCGTTCGCTGCAGTTATTCGTACGTCTCTCTGACTAGTGAAACTCCCTGAAGGGGCCCAGGCTGGAGGGGCCCCAGTCCAGCCCGGTCAGGGGTCGGGTCGGGTCTCCAAGGCCCTGGGCCCCGGCTCTGGAGAAGCCTCGGGTCTCCCGCAGCAGAAAGTGACCCACCGCCCCTGAAGGCGGCGCCCTGGGCGTGTGGGTCCCCGAGCCACCTGTGCACAGGACCCGGGTCCGACGGCAGGCCCTCCGCTCTGTCAGGGGCCGCGGCCACCAAACCGCGTGAAACACACGAGGACGTCGGTCAGACCGCGTCCACCGCCCCCGCCCAGTCTCCGCGGGACCCTTTACAGCCTAGGCCCCGGAAATGCTTCTCTGTGAAAACACTGACAAGGCCCCTTTTATCACGGAGCGATGATCACGTACTGGTGGTGGTTAGTGCCTTGGCGCCAGCACGCAGGGGCTCATGTTTGTAAACTGCAGGAGCGCTCTTAGCCGTAAGCCTAGATTTTTTAAGCATTTACTTTCTCTTTATGAGGTGCTTTTCACTTTGCTCTTTCTACATTTACCATTTTCTTTTTGACGTATCTCCAGTTCCTGGAAGTTTCTTAAGAATATGTTGTGACGTGCCCACATTAATTACTCTGAGCAGCAATAAATGAATGTATTTGTTGCTGAGCCCTGGGAGCCGGGCCAAGAGATTTATGGCTGTTGGATCAGATCAATTGAGGCTTGTAATAACTGCATGAAGTCTAGGGAAGTATGGGCAGTGCTGTATTTTAACCTCAGCCAGGGGTGGGGGGCCAGACACCCCACTGTATACGGAGTTTCTCAGCAGCACATGGTCTGGATTCCCGGTGAGGCGGGGAGATCTTCACTCTACAAGCAAAGCGCTCAGAGGGAGACTCACCCTTCCCTTCTGCTATGACCCAGCCTTCCCGCTGGCACACGGGGCAGGAAGTGTGGGTCTGACCGAGGCCACTGCCATTCATCCTTCGCCCATGGGCCAGGCCCCACAGCAGGGCACACGGGCTCACTCAAAACCCTTCTCATCAGAGAGTCCAGAGGAGGAAGAGAAAAGAGAAGGCAGTAATGGCGTAGGAGCCGATGTTCTGGAGGGGACCCCGACGTCCAGCCCAGCAGCTCGTCTGGCAGATGGGAAAGTGCCGCTGGCCAAGAGCCTCCCAGGGCACTGGCTGGCCGCTCCCCGAACAACCACGACCCGGGCCTCTGACACCCAGAGGCCTGGGCTCTGTCCGGCACGTTCTCCCATGAGCACCAACAGTGGCAAATGAGGTCAGGACCGGTGTGACCCCTTAGCCTCCAGTGAAATCTCTCCAGGCCAGCGAGACCCCTGTGGCTGGGGCACTGGAGGACACTGTGCCCTCAGCTCTTACTGAGAGAGCCTTTGCTCCCGGCACTGGGACAAGGCTGATCTTGGGCCCCAAGTTTGAGACAGGCCCCTCGGCCACGCTCTCCTCATCTGCCCAATGGATCAGGGAGACCCCTTCGGGCAGGGAGGGACAGGCACCCCGAGCGACAGTGCCGAGAGTCCAGCCTTTGCTGTTTAAGCCAGGTCGCCCGTCCCCGCCCCGACACTCGACAGCAATCTGCCCAATGTCACCCATCACTGACGGCACCTTGCCGGCCTTCCAAAAGAATAATTTTAAAAATAAATAAAACGAGAAACTATGATAAAGGAACATGAAATACCAGCACTGCTTGTGTGCCCCCGTGTCTGGTCTCTGATGTGGGATGCTGGTTTGGACAGGTGCCTCTCGAGCTCTCTCCAGGGCTTTGCACATACTTCCGGCTCTGCTCTCAGCCCGGAGGGGCCTTTCCTGTGGTCCTTTGGCCCAGGGCATGCTCCCCAGTGCCGTCCTTTGGCCCAGGGCACGCTCCCCAGCAGATGCCCAGTGGGGGCAGGAAAATCAGGTCCCTTTTCTCCAGGATACTCGTCAAGGGCCTCTCTGGAAGGTAGGAGGGATTCGTAAGTGGGTTGGGGCATCTCCCTTTCAGAGGCTCTGAGCCGAGAGAGAAACCGAAGATCAGTTCCAAACCAGCCTATCTTCCCTAAGGGGACCATGCCTGTCATGTACCCCTTGTTGAAAGTCTTCCCTACAGATACCTATTTGACCTTCGGTGAAATGACCTAAACTCTATGTTGTGAGGATGCAAAGACGGTCAGTGCCTTACAGGCAAATGCAGCCCAAGGCAGCCTGCAACTGGGGGCAGAAAGGGGAAAAAGGCATCGTGAGGTTCGGAAAACAGAAGGCCCCAGTTTTGTTGAGATGACGGGGCCTGGAGGATGGTGAGGGTCGGGATGGGGACCCCGGGGGAGGCCTGGGCCCTTGGCCCAGAACTGGAGGAGAGATTAGGGGCACGTGTGGTGGGTGGTGGGTCTGCAGAGGCATCATAGGAGCGGGTCAGGGAGCCGGGCGGGACTGCAGGACCTGCCCCTGATCCAACAGGCAGGGACAGAAGGCACGGCACCGCTGAGGTCCGGCTGAGCTCGGGTGAAAGAGGAGAGGCGGGACCGGAGGGGAAGTCTAGTTGGGGACAAGTGGCACCTGAGAGGTCATGTGCACATTAATTCACAGCTGCCAGAGGTTTTATTCATTCAACCTGTGTCCTCTGTTGGCTGAAAACTGACCACGGGAGAAGGGCCATGTCTGCATCCCCACCACCTCCCCAGAGAAACGGGCGCTATCAGTATCACGTGGCAGAGCAGGGAAAGGGCCCAGGCTGGGCTGGAATTGCATGGAGAGGCCAAGAATGGGTGAATACTTCTTTGAATCACTGATAGATTTTCTTCATGAATCAAATATTCTCTAAGTGCCTGTTAGTGTTGCATCCTAGACAGTGTGAAGCTCGAGGTCCAGATGGGGGAGGTACTCACACAGAACCGGGTGTAGGTTGCGTAGGCTGTGAGGACAGCCCACGTGAGCTGTGTGCACTGGTGCGGAGGGGCCGGAAGGTTCCAAGGTCGAGGAGGCGCGTGAGTAAAGGTCTGGAGCAAAACGTCCTTACAAAGAGCCTGGAGGCCTCCTGTGGGCCTTGAGGCTGGACTCAGCTTGCCTCTTTGACCCTCATGGAAGGGTTTCCAACAACGTTTGACCTGATGGGACTTTGCTGAAGGCCTGAAAGAGTTCTGGGCTGTGGTGGAGACTGGGGCAAGGGAGGGGGGTGGGGAGGAGGGGGAGAGGGACGGGGGAGGAGCTATTCATGGGATAGCGGCAGGGGCGGGGATGTGCAGAGGGGCCCCCTTCATAGGAGGAGGAGGGAGAAGGCTGGAGGAAGAGCAGGTGCCTTGGGGTGAAGGGAGCAAGGGAGACAAACCCCAGGACGCTGTCAGGGGTGCCGGAGGGTTCCAAGAGCCGTGGAAGAGGAAGGCCGCGCGGAACAGACTGTTGGCAGATGTGGGTTCTGACTGGAAGGTGCGTGTGTAGCAGTTGTCTTACACATGCCTACTTGCTCATTTATGACTGGTGTGTGTGCTCTAGTGAGTACGTAGAACAAAAGTATTTACATGGGAGATAAATCCTTGATATAGTTGTGTTTATTTAGAAACTCGTAATCTACAGGCTTCAAGGGACCTGAACTCGTGTCTGGCTTTGTCGCTCACTGACTGGGAGGGAGTCAGCGGACCCGCCTGGACGTCACTTTACCATTTGTAAAACGAGGGTGTCGGACTCCTTATCTCCTCCTCCTTCCGACTCTCACGAATGACGACAACAGTGAGAACAGCGGAAGCGAGAGCAGGGGATTGTTCTACCTGAGCAAGTTCCTGTTGGCTGATTATACACCCGACCTTCTTCCTTTGTGTCTGAGATTAACGGATCTCTTCATGTTCCCTCTTGGTCTCTACTGGCCACACAGTGGACAGAACACTCATTAGGATAGAAAAAACAATCATACAAAACAACGTGACTGTGTGACGTCTTCAAGATGGCTCAGTGTTGCTGCCGACAGTTGTGAAGGATCAGTGATGGAGTCTGAGGCGCTTCAGGCGGAGCTCTCCTGTGGACGCGGGGCTCCCCGGCCACGGCGCGTGTCCCTTTCACATGGCTGTGTCTGTGTCCCCCCGCTCCGCTGGCATTGCCTGCTCCGCGGCAGCTGGCCTGGCCGGCTTCCTGGCCTCCAGATACTCCACAGCCCCGTAGGCCAGCATGGCCAGACTCAAGACCCCCAGCAGGATGTAGAGTTTGACGTTGACACACAAGAATGAGCTGTACCCAAAGGCGATGACGAAGCCCAGAGACTCCCACAGGCGGTAGTTGGCAAAGGCAGCCTCCTTGTTCTTCTCAAATAGAACGCCGTAGAGAACTGTGAGGAGACACGACATGGACACATTGCTGCAAAGCCTCCAATGATTTTTGTCGATTATCGCTGAAAACGGGATGGCTTTCCCACTGCCCAATTTTCTCAAGAAAACCAGGAACTTTCCCTTTGTACGAAACCCAGAATTATTTCATGATGGGGGTTCTGGTAAGTCGGACGACACATCATTAGCAGTGAGGAAGCAGCACACACAAAGGAAACACAGACTTCACGCAGTGTTAGCACCGGTGGGAATGTGGGCCACGCCGTCCCTCGGAGGGTGACTGTGGAACAGGGAAGTAGAGCCTAGAGGCTTGACCTGTGCCACGTGAGGCATGGCCACTTGCTGGAGTCCAAAAGCAAAGACGAATGAGAGCCATCCTAACCCCAGGACCTCAGAATGTGACTCTCTGCGGAGACAGTGCCTGAAAAGAGGTGACTGAGGTAGATGAGGTCATTAGAGAGGCCCCCCTCCCTCCCCATCCCACATGACTGGTGTCCTTACAGAAGAGGAGGTCAGGACACAGACATGCACAGAGTGACAATCGTGTGTGGACACAGGGAGGAGACAGCCATTCGGAGCCCAGCCTGCCCACGCCCGGACCTGAGGGCTTGCGTGCTATTGAAGCCCCCGCCTACTGTCACATGTCGATGGCCCGGGCAGGCTGCTGCACAGTCTGGGTGAGAGTATGTGATTTTTCTTTCCAGTTCGTGGTTGTGTGAAGGTGTGTGATGCGCCCGGCTGAGGACTGGAAGCGTCCCCACCTCTGTGACGTGAGGTGTCATGGTGGATGTGCGGGGAGGTTGGCAGCCAGGAAGTGGAAAGCCTTCAGCAGACCCGGGTGGGTCCCCAGGGACGGTGTTGAGCCTCCTGGCTGATGCCCAGCGCCTGCCTGTCTCTCTCTGTCCTCCGAAGGTGCCCGGGCCACCACGCCCTCCCCTCTGGCCGGTGGACTCGCCTCTTCACCATGGACACCTCTCCGCGGGCGCACCTTACACAGCGGCTGGACTCCACCACCGTCTCCTCCGGCCCTTGGTCCCATCGCCGGCGCCCTCCCCTGCACCTTAGGCTGTGCTCTCCCTTACCTCTTCCCTTCAGCCTGGAAACAAAGCCAGGTCTCTCCCAAAGGTCATGCAAGCTGGACTCAGGTCCCCTTCACCCCTCCTGCCTCTTTCTACACCGCTGTCCATCTACACCAACTACATGACAGTCACTGCACTGAGTTCTGCAAACATGAACAAGGCGTGATATCTGCTCTCGGGAAGCCCATGGCGCCCGGTCCCTGGATTGGACTTAGGTTCCCTCCCCACATGGCACACCTGTCCTGTCTGGACAGTTCCCTGCCTCGTCTCTCGTCGGCTCCGGACTGACCTGTTCCCTCCTCTCGTGTCTTACCCTGCTCCATGCGACCCCCAGGCTGCCGCGAGGACCATCTTTCTACAGTGTACGTGTGTCCTGTCGCCCCAGCCTGACGTTGTCAGCGGCCCCGCCCGACTTTGGGGTAGAAGGACAAGAGTCTCGGGGCGCCTGGGTGGCTTAGTCGGTTAAGCGTCCGACTTTCGCTTAGTTCATGATCTTGCGGTTCGTGTGTTCGAGCCCCGCGTCGGGCTCTGTGCTGACTGCCAGCTAGGAGCCTGGAGCGCCTGTTTCGGTCTGTGACTCCCTCTCTCTCTGACCCTCCCCTGCTCATGCTGTCTCTCTCTCTCCTAGAAATAAATAAAAATATTTAAAAAAAAAAAAAGAAGGACAAGAGTCTCATCGGGGAGCAGACCCCGCGTGGCCTGGTCTTGTCCCTGCCTGCACCCCCTGTCGCTGTGGGGCGCGCCCCCAGCTCCGACCCCACTGACCATCCCGAGCGAAGTGCTCCTGCCGGGCCCTGCCAGCGACGGCCGCTTTTGATTCTTCTGTCAAGTTCTCCGTGATGCCATCCCACCCAGCGTCCCGTTGCCATCACAGTAATTCCAGCGCTCTCACAGTGTCAGCAGAAGTACACACTGAATGACCGCGTGGGCCAGGGGGTGGACACTGACTTCCTGAAGTGAGCGGGGAACCAACAGGTCAAACACCGAGCCCATGCGCCGCGGGGTTACCGCGCCCTCAGGGACCGGTACACTTGCTCAGAGGACAAATAATAACGCAAGGCAACGGGGGGAGGCAATCCCAGGTCAAGAGTGGCCTCTTCCTCTTCTTCGTTTCTAGTTATTGCCCCAAAGTCCCCCACCCGGGGAGGGAGTCGAGCTAACACAGGACGCACAACCACAACAGGGCGCACAAGACACGAAGTAAACCAAGGTGTCATGTGTGGCCCAGTAGCTCGGGCAGGATGAACCCACTGCCTTCTGCCCCCAGCCTTAGTGGGACCAGACATGATCTGCACCTGCGATTCCTGGGGACAGCAGGAGTCTGGAAAGTCATAGGGACTTTCCTGGGACTGCCCTTCCCTTCCTGCATGGTGGGCAGTCGTGGGAGGAAGGGCACACACAGAACTTCCACACACGTTCCTTTCCCGGCTCTCCGCCTGCCCCTTGCCCTGATCCTTCTCCCTACATTTTGCAGGGAAGGGATGGAGGGAAGAGAGGCCCCCCGGCACCGTGGGGAAAGTTGGAGGCCAGCAGCAAGGTTTCCTGCGCCCCTGCCTGGGAACATCAACACCCAGAAGGTTCTTCTTGGCATTTGGTTAGTCAGCTGTCCACCTACCATGGGCGGGACTCAGGAGGGCGAGGCCACTGGAGAGATAGAAGATGAGATACACGTTATAAACAGTATAAGTGTGTTTGGGAAAACAAGAGGCTGTTTGGAAGGCTCAAAGAAGGTGCCTTTGTTTGTCTGAGCCTGTGAAGTGCCCATCTTAGTGAAAGTTCACTCACAGAGAGAGTCTAATAAGAAGTCTAAGAATTTAGCAGCTCCTAAGATTATTTTGAAGATTTCTTGTCTTCCTGTAGGTGGCCAACAGGTATATGAAATATGCTCAACGCCACCCATCACCAGGGAAATGCAAATCAAAACCAGGATGAGATACCACATTACACCTGTCAGAAGGGCTAAAATCAACAACACCAGAAAGCACAGGTGTGGGTGAGGAGATGGAGAAAAAGGAATCTTTGTGCAGTGTTGGTGGGAAAGCAAACCAGTGTGGCCACTCTGGAGAACAGTATGGAGCTTCGTCTAAAGTTAAAAATAGAACTACTTTGGGGTGCCTGAGTGGCTCAGTCGGTTAAATGTCCGACTCTTGGTTTCGGCTCAGGTCATGATCTCATGGTTCATGAGATCAAGCCCCACATCGGGCTCTGTGTTGGTAGCACAGAGCCTGCTTGGGATTCTCTCTCTCCTGCTGTCTCTCTGCCCCTCCCCTACTCGTGCTTTCTCTCGCCCCCTCTTGCAAAAATAAATAAACATTAAAAAAATAGAACTACCTGATGATCTAGCAATTGTACCACTTGGTATTTACTGAAAGGATACAAAAATACTGATTCAGACAGATACATGCACCCCGATGTTTATAGCAGAATTAGCTACAACACCCAAATTATGGAAGCAGCCCAAATGTCCACTAACCAGCAAATGGACAAAGAAGATGTGCTATGTATACAATGGAATATTATTCAGCCATAAAAAGGAGGAAATCTGGCCATTTACAACAACATGCATGGAACCGGAGGGTATTATGCTAAGCGAAATAGTCAGAGAAAGACAAATATCATGTGACTTCACTCATATGTGGAGTTTAAGGGAAAAAAAACACAATCATGGGGAGGAAAAGAGAGGATAACCAAGAAACAGACTCTTACCTACAGAGAACACACTGATGGTCACCAGAGGGGAGGTGGGGGTGGGGATTAAGAGCACACTTATTGTGATGACACGGGGTCATGTATGGAAGTGCTGAGTCACTGTGTTGTACACCTGAAACCAATATTACACTGCATGCTAACTATGCTGGAATTTAAATGAAGTAACTAGCTAACTATCTAGTCTTTATTTGGAGGGTGACACTTAAAATTGGACCCAAGAATGAGATGGGAAGGAAGAAAATCCAAGTCTGGACACTATGGCTTTGAGTGGCAGGTGTTTCCACGTTCTGTGGCTGACAGGTGCAGTGGCACCCCTCCTAGGTGCAGTCCCAGAGAAACACACCCCAATCTCATAAATATTCTGGTAAAATGGCAACTCTAACTTTAAGCTACTGTGTTTGGTTTGTAGGTTGGCGTCTTTAGATTTCATGATTATATTTAGATTGTGATGATTATACATCGAGTCAGGCTTTTCAGGAAATTACTCATGATCTGGATCCTATTTTAATCCTAACACAAAGCAGACATTATGTCAAATTCCAGAAGTTGCTTAGGGACGTGGTGGGCTGAGGGGAAAGACATTAAAGAGGCAAGGAAAGTAGGTGAAATAATATTTCAACAATTCTGAAGTCACGTCACATGGACGCTGGGTTGGAACGAATAAGCAATGTGACCTGCACAGCGGGAGCTGGGTTTCTCCCCATCAGAGGAGGAAGTCAGATGAACACAGGGAGGGTAGAATGAACCCGTGGTGTTGGAGGGCAGTCCGGGACGCCGGCGTGGACTCATCCTCACTCAACGTGTCTACAGACCAGCAGATCCAGAAACACGGACGTGTGTGCACATGGGTCAGCGCACACACATCTGTCTCTCCTCTCTGTCCCCAGAACCTTCATCATCTCAGGGACAAGGAGCATACCCAGCACTCAAATCTCATTTTCTAACACTGTTATCCAACAAAATAGACCCAGTGTCCTTGGAGAAATGGCTGATTCTAGTGCCGGCACAGGGGATGGATCTGGAATAGTCTATGGTGCCAACAAGTAAGGAAGAACCAAAAAAAAAAAAAAAAATAGATGGGGCGTCTCAGAAGGGCACGGGTGCCAATGGGAAAGACCCCAATGGCGAAAGCTGCAACAATTAGAGCAACAGAATAGTAAAGGGCCATTGGGCTGTAACTCAAGGACACGGCAATACACGAGCCCATAGCGATG